ACACACACACACACACACACACACACACACACACACACACACACACAATGGAATACTACTCAGCCACAGAAAATAATGAAATTGTGCCATTTTCAGCAACATGGATGGACTTGGAGGGCATTATGCTAAGTGAAATTAGTCAGACAGAGAAAGACAAGGACAGAGATATCACTTATATGTGGAATCTAAAAAAAAATACAACAAACTGGTGAATAAAACGAAAAAGAAACAGACTCACAGATGTAGAGAATAAACTAGTGGTTACCAATGGGGAGAGGGAAGTGGGGAGGGGAAACGTAGGGGAAAGGGATTAAGAGGTACAAACTATTATGTCTAAAATAAGCTACAAGATATATTGTACAGCACAGGGAATATAGCCAATATTTTGTAATTGGCTATACTGGAGTATAACCTTTAAAAACTGTGAATCACTATAGTGTACACCTGTAACATACAATATTGTATATCAACTATACTTGAGTTGAAAGAAGTAGGGGGCAATTGTGTGATTCTGCTTATATGAGGTACCTGAAATAGTCAGATTCAGATTCATGGAGACAGAAACAATGGAAGTTCCCAGGGGAGCTGAGTGAATAGGGAGTTATTGGGTTGGCCAAAAGGTTCGTTCGGGTTGTTCCACACCATCTTCCGGACAAACCCGAACGAATATTTTGGCCAACACAACATTGTTTTGTGGGTACAGAGTTTCCGCTTTGCAAGATGAATTCTACAGCTTGATTGGGGTGATGATTGCACAACAGTGCGAATGTACTTAGTACACTGAATTGTACACTGAAAAAGGGTTAAGATGGTAAATTTTATATTATGTGTATTTTGCCACAATTAAAAAAAAGTGAGGGGGGCTTCCCTGGTGGAGCAGTGGTTGAGAGTCCGCCTGCCAATGCAGGGGACACGGGTTCGTGCCCCGGTCCGGGAAGATCCCATATGCCGCGGAGCGGCTGGGCCCGTAAGCCATGGCCACTGAGCCTGCGCGGCCGGAGCCTGTGCTCCCCAACGGGAGAGGCCACAACAGTGAGAGGCCCACGTACCGCAAAAAATAAAAAAAAAAAAGTGAGGGGAAAGAAGGAAGGAAAATAATATGGAGACTGATGGAGCCAGGACAGACACTGAAAACTACTCCATCATTATGCAACCCCACTCTTCTTGCCACTATATCTGTGCCATCCGTGTAATGCTCAACTTCTTCAGCAAATGGGAAAAGAGAATCCCCCAGGAGTGACACAATCTAGGGTCTATTAGGAAAAAACAAGTTCAAGAAAACTGCAACTATTCTTGGTTCTAAAACCAGGTCATGATTTCTCCCCAGGACTTTGTAGAATGAGTTTCACGAGGTGGAGTCTTATTCCAACTCTCTGTACAGGCTGCTCTATTGCCATTCATTTCTCTTTGCCAAGGAGTCATTATTCCTTATGCACCACTTGACCAGGTTTGAACCTGTGATGAGATTTTGTTACTTTTATCAACCAGTCTATTATCTCCTTTTGGGCATGAGCTACACACAGCAAAAGACAATGTTTATGAGAAATAACATACTAGACTAATTTGTTTTGATTGTAAAGATTTATGAGAGCAGAGAGTGATAGGTTAGTGTGATGTAACAGATGTTCTATCCCTGCTGTGACATTTAATTCAGTCACTCATGAGCATTCACTTGCAAGACTAATTCAAGTGGATGTGACATGAGTGCCCTCACGTGAGTTTTTCAAGGGGCCAGAAAACTGTAACAAGACCTAATGATAAATGACGCCATATCCCTGTTGAGTGGAACAAAAGCGTCTGGAGAATTGTCTTAAGCACTGTTATTTATGCCAGCCTGACTTAACATCTTCATTAATAATCTTCCTGAAGACAGAATAAACGGATACTTGGGAAATTTGCTGGTGAAACCATATTTGGAGGTTAGCACCAGAAAAATGGGAGGAAATGGAGGGGGCCTGGACGCCGGCACAGAATAAAAGAAAATAGCATACATATTACAAACACAACCTTTCATGGAGCTGTCATTATAAATAAAGTATGTTTTGGCCAGAATTGTGTTGGAGGTAGGGGTACTCCACTGGATGCAGAAGAAGAAAATAAGAGAAGTTTAGGGAGGGGGGATTAACATTTCTGAAGCACCCACTGTGTGCCAGGCCCTTTACATGATCTCATTGAATTCTCACATAACTGTCTACTGTTTTAATCATTAACTCACAGCAAATGAAACCCCAGGTTTCTCTGACAGGCCACATAGCTTAGTCAGTAACTGAGAAAGGCCTTCAACCCAGGTCTGCCAGGTGTCAAGACCTAAGCTTTGCACACCTCCACTTGCTGTCTCCTAAGAATTACCTCTGTTCACCCACATCCAAGCATTCAGAGGCCTGACATTTATAAACTGATGAACGCCTACAGTTATACTTAATTTTCCCCCAAGTCATCTATAGTTGCTGCTTTAAAAGTCAATGGTTGATTGTTTTAATTAGATGTTAGTTTCTAAATCCACACTGGAATCTTTGCACATACCTCCAAATTTGGTGTCACTTCAAAAAATCTTGTAGTTTGAGTGTGTTATGAGTTGAGGAGATTTAGATTGTCTTGGGGGAGAATTCATCCTTCAGCCACTCTCGACTCTCACATCTGAACAGTCTCTGAGTTCTGTTGGTTCTTCCATCATGGCGTCTCTTATACCCATCCCTTCCTTTCACTGAAGTGACCATATTTTAGTGCTTTATTATCCTTAATTATCCTTCCTTCTATTCATCCTCCCTACAACTTCCAGAATGTGACTTGTTTATTTGACAAAATTTTTTACCATCTCCCTAATCATTGGTTGAAATATAAACTAATATTTTTTTGAACACCTCCTAATATGCCAGGTGCCATGGCAGGCACTGGGGGTCTAAAGGTGAATAAGACAAAATTGCGGCCCTCAAGGAGCTCACCTAACTTCAATATGATTGTGCCATCTGCCTTCTCCCATGCCCTGCTCCAAACTCTACCTTGGTGTCCTATCAGATAAATTAAGCTTAACTCCTTAGCTCGGCATTCAGTGCTCCCTAAAAATTGTCCCAACTATCATTCTGTTCCTATATGTTTGAGATAATTGAATACCTTTACCTTTCCTTTCCTACAAAGGTCTTATAGTCCAAATAAATGACACCATATTAATAAAACTATAACTTATTATTTACATTATTAAATTATTAATACATGAAAATGTCCTTTCCTTTTGCCACTTTCATGCCTTTCAAGGTAGTTTATGTTCCTCAAACTCCTCTATGTTTCCTTATCAAACTAAAACCTGTCTTCCAAAGTCCAATTCAAACACTCCATCCACAAAGCCACCTGGAATGAGTCCAGTTGGAGGCGAACTTGCTCTCCTCTGAGTCCTATAGCTCTTCTTCTCGGCATTCCTCAAGTCCTGAGGCCAGTTGGTCTCAGTCCCGTTGATGTGTGTGACATTTGTGTATGTACTTCCTGTTCTTCTTACTAGATTATAAACTGTATGTGAGCAGGAACCCTGCCTCGTTCCTTTTGTATCCACTCAACTGTGTGCCTTGCACAGAGAAAGTGCTTTCTATTAATTTGCTAAGTATATAACTGAACAAATTACTTGATTTCATTCAGCAAACATATTGGACACTTAACTATGTTCCAGGCACTGTAATATGTGCTTGGAATATATCAGTGAACAAAAGAGACAGAGAACTAGAGGTAGCAGGGATAGAGAGAGATAGATAATAAACAATAAGCACAAGAAATACTTTGGGAAAAAAAGTATAGCATCCAGAAGATAGCAAATGCATGGAAAGAAGGAAAAGTAGAGCAGAATAATGGGGATTTGAGAGTCTTTGGAGGGGTGGGATGGGGAAGGTAAAGTAGTCAGGGTAAGAGGTGAGATGAGAGCGAAGACTTGAAGGTAGGAGGGAGCTCACCATGCTGATGAG